GATTGGCCGAAGCCGCGGGGGGCGGGGCGGCGGGTGTGAAGGGGGCGGGCTCGGGCTGCTCACCGCTCCCTCCCTTCTTCCCATCTGCGTCCTCTCTCGCGGCTCCCGCGTTGCATCATCTCCAGCCTGTGGCCGCTGTGGGAAGGCTGGGCGCGGCGCGATCCACTCAGGCCGTGGCTCCAGCCTGCTTTCCCGTGTCTCTCCTGGCCCTTTCCCACCTGCTTCTGCACCCACGCCGGGAGCTCCCCGCCCGCCGGCTCCCAGAACCCGCGGAGCGCAACCGGCGGACGTCGCCAGCTCTGCCTGATCCGTTCATTGAGAGCCCGGCTTATCCCAGAGCCAAGTCTCCCGCCTCCTCCAGCTCGGCGCCGCGAGCAGCGCCATGGAGAAGAGTAGCGAAACCAACGGCTACCTGGACGGCGCCCAGACGGGGCCTGCAGCAGGGCCTGGCGCGCCCGGGTCCGCGGTGGGACACGCGCGGCGCTGCGCGGGCTTCCTACGGCGGCACGCGCTGGTGCTGTTCACCGTGTCCGGAGTGGTGGCGGGCGCCGGCCTGGGCGCGGCGCTGCGCGGGCTTGGCCTCACCCGCACGCAGGTCGCCTACCTGTCCTTCCCCGGCGAGATGCTGCTCCGCATGCTGCGCATGATCATCCTGCCGCTGGTAGTCTGCAGCCTGGTGTCGGGCGCCGCCTCCCTCGACGCCAGTTCTCTCGGGCGCCTGGGCGGCATCGCCATCGCCTACTTCGGCCTCACCACGCTTGGCGCCTCGGCGCTCGCTGTCGCTTTGGCGTTCATCATCAAGCCTGGGTCTGGCGCGCAGACCCTCCAGTCCAGTGACCTGGGGCTGGAGGAGTCGGGGTCCCCTCCGGTCCCCAAAGAGACAGTGGACTCTTTCCTCGACCTGGCCAGGTAACGCCCCCCCCCTCCGCCAAGGGCACAGTGAGGGACACAAGCTCTCTAATGCATTCCAGTGCGTGCGCCCCCCACCCCCCCACATACACACGGACACACACACCACCTTCATACACTGCTAAGAGTTCATTCTTAATTGGCTGCTGGTGATGAACCAGCCCTACCATTAGGTGGGAGTGTTAGGGAAGAGCAGCTGTCCCACCTGTACTGTACTCCTTGTACCATCTGGCCGCCCTTACCAGTAGGAACGTTCCAACCATACCCCATTATCTTCACCCTGTTTTCTCGGCGCGGTCCCCAAAAGCTGTTGGGAGCATTAGTTAAATTTTGCCTGTATCATCCTCACCTGTAATCTCTGGCCTTCCCTGTTTCAGCCCTTCGGCTGAGAGGAAGGTAGCAATTTTTGAAGACTTATCAGAGGACCCAAGGATAACAGGGCTGGGGTTAGTTGTATGAGGCCCACTGTCCAGAAACATGGCTCTCCGGGGGGCTTGGGACAAGTTGCTTCCACCCCATAGTCAGGATCACTGTAGAGTATTGTTGGGTTTCAAGGAGCTTTATTTCTGGAAGGGTGAGTTCTAGAGGGGAAGGAGTTTTGCCTGTTCTTTGTGATTCTTAGAAGTTGCATTTTATCCCTTGAGATGCAATGTTGTTTTTGGATTATCCAAAGCCTCAGCCTCTCTTGGTTTCTCCATTAGCCCAGAGTTCACAGATGGGAGAACTGCAGCCTGGAAGCATTTACGGTCCTGGCCAGGTTCAGCTGAGTGAGGAGCTCAGCTGGCTCCTCCAGGTTTCCGAAAATTCTGGATTCGGAACCTTGGAGGTATGTTTTGTCTTGAGTCACTGAGGCAAAGCTCCTCCTGGCTGAGGCTACAAAAAACAGCAAATCCTGGGCAAAGTGACTTGACTTCCTGCTATTTGCTTTTCTCTCTCTGGAAAATGTGATGAATGTCTGCCACTTGAGTGTGTGTTCATTTGAAACTACAACAACAACAATAAAAAGTCCAAGGCTTTTGTATTGAAAAAAAAAAAACCAAAAAAACAAAACACAAAACCAACCCAAAAACCTCCAATGAGGGGGACCAAAAAGTTCATACCAAAAAGGCAGATGGGGATGGCCTAAGAGGACTTTGATGTGATCACAGTCTTTGGTATCTGGCAACTTGATATTTGGTCTTCTGAGATCCTTAAAGTTTTGGGACTTTTAGGTGGGTGCTGAAAACAAAGTCTGCTGAGGTTGAGAGTGCTTTGGGCTTATTACATTCAGTGTATCAGTCAGTTTTCCCCAGGAGGGAAGGTGGTTATGGGGTTAAAGGATTCTTTTTTGCAGGGATCAGTGGCCCAGGGAAGGGAGTATGGATGCCCAGCTCTGACCTGCTGGTGGTACCCCAGAGGGAGGCTCAGTAGCATTCTTTTATCTCCAAAAGAGGGACAGTAGCCCCCAAATGGCGCAAGGTAAGGTGAGGGGTTACTTTATTACCACCTGTCTCAGAAGGGACATCTTCTTTCTTGATCGTGGTTTTCTAGTTTTAGATCCAAGCCCCTACAGCTGCTGCTTCTGAAGCGAATGGTGACCCAGCATCATGGCTTAGTGGTCTGTCTGGGTGCAGACTTTTCAGTGACTTGGGCTGCAGATGCAGGAAAGGACTAAGAGAACCTTTGTCGTGGCTTGTTGGGAATAGGCAGCATTTCATAATGCTTCCACAGCCAGCCTCCAGCTGCTCACAGATAAAGGTAGGGCAGGTGCTATGATCCTGTTTTACGACTGAGGAAACTGAGGCAGAGAGAGATCAAGTGATTTGCTCAAGGTCACAGAGTGGTTTATTGAAAGAAGGATTAGCAAAACTATGGGTCTTGTGCCCCACAGTTCGGGGTTCTGCTTCTCCCACTCTCCCCTCCCCCAAGTCAATATGCCAAGGTAATGGGGCCATGCTGCTGGTCCAGTCCGCCATCTCAGACATGTTTGCCCTGGGCCAAAAGGGAATCAGGTAAGAATATGATTTGGGTCGGGGCAGATGCCCACTTCCTCTAAACAGAGGACCTGAGCCCCGTCCAGTGAAGGAAAGCCTGTGTACTGCTGTTCCGATTTGCCTTCACGTTGAGGAGCTCGTGAGAGGGAACTGAGTTCTGAGCCATGTCTAAGTGCTTCCTGAGTCCCTGGGTCAAAGTTTTAAATTTGCTTCCTGCAAAGAAACCCCGCAGATACTGATTTTATGGGACTCTGGGCACATTCCTTGGTAAAGGCAGGGCGCAGTCCTTTCTGCCTGTGGGCACTGAATGAAGTGAGAACACTGACAAACACCTCAGTTATCCAACAGGCCCTCACCGGGTAACTGCCCAGAACTCAAAACACCCAAAAGGAGTGGGAGCAGTCTCTGATAATATAGCGCAGCTGCTGCTGGGGCTTTGCTGGTGGTGCAGTGCCTCAGGGTCTCTCTGCTCCGGTGTCTAATTTTTCTCAAGACGGAACTACAAGTCAGAAAGAAATGAAGCTAGGGGCGCCTGGGTGGCTCAGTTGGTTAAGCGACTGCCTTCGGCTCAGGTCATGATCCTGGAGTCCCGGGATCGAGTCCCGATTCGGGCTCCCGGCTCGGCGGGGAGTCTGCTTCTCCCTCTG